TTTTTTTTTTGTGGTACATGGGCCTCTCGCTGTTGTGGCCTCTCCCGTTGCGGAGCACAGGCTCCAGACGCGCAGGCTTAGCGGCCATGGCTCACGGGCCCAGCCGCTCCGCGGCATGTGGGATCTTCCCGGACCGGGGCACGAACCCGTGTCCCCTGCATCGGCAGGCGGACTCTCAACCACTGCGCCACCAGGGAAGCCCTAAAGTATATTCTTGATAAAATATATTCTATTTTAATATACATGCTATAAAAGTACACTAAAAACGTCAACCTTTAGAGTGTTGTTAAAATTAAGAATTTACTTTTTTACATATAGAATAATATACATCCAACTCTAAGTGTATTTGAGGATAGCTATTACTGTGACCCCAAATATTTCTAGCTTCATATTTTGTTTACCATAATATTGATTTTATAATACGTATTCAGTAATGTGCTCATAATTCTGTTTTGCAGTGCCTCACTCATCACTTTAAAGAAAAATGCAGAGGGAACTGCATATCTCCAAGTTCTTATGGTGCAATTCACCGTGTTTTCAACATAAGTTCCTATTACAAAATTTTAATTTTATTTTTTAAATTTTGGTAAGTAAATTCTTTTATGATCTACATTTGGAGCTTTTAATGCAGCAAGTAAAAATGAGCAATGTTGAAAATTAACTTAAAGGTAGCCTGATTTTAAAAATAATCACTTCCTTCTGTAATAATACCTCCAATGCCAATTCTAAATTTTTATGGAATAGTGTGAAATAATGCTGACTGCACACATCCAGTGGCGATGAATTGACTGAGTGCATGCCACGCCAAGAAATGAGACTCTTGGGACTGACTTTAACTGTATCCACCATAATCCTGTAGTACACATGATGAGGCTGCTAGTTATAGATGACATCTGTGGAACCCAGGCATATCTGCAATTTTTTTTTTGAGTAATAGAACAGAAATATAAAAGAATTAAAATTTGTTTCTGATTTAAACAAAAATATTTACTCTTTTCATTAGCAAAACATTCTTTAAAATATATCTATTTTTCCTCTGAACATTTAGCCAAGGAGCACTAGGCAATTTTTGAAGGTTTCAGTGCTGACTGTACAATACAATAAATACAGCTGTAGAGAGCACACAGCAACAATAGCTTATTTACATCCACTGAGAAGAAATTTATTCTCATCTGGTTACAGTGTCCAGTCCCCCAAAGGAAAGGTTTGGCATTCGTGTGCTTTTTGTTCTTGGTGGGAATCACTTCTGCTTGATTTTCATTGTTGAAAGAAAAAAAAAAATCAGCTGATGGCCTCAGATTTTCTGACATGATGTGAAAGAAGAATGTGACAATAATTAGCTGCTACCATGGAGTTAGTCTGGGAATTGGTTTCCAGGCAGATCTCGCTTCTTCCCAGGTGAGGGTCCAGTGGGCTTCACGGGAACCAAGAGGTAGGTGCCTAGGACCCAGGTGTGCTGAGCCGCATCCAGGGACGGGTCACTCTCGCTCAGCTGAGCACCCCCTGCTCTGCCTCATTCACCACCCCTACTCACTACCCTATGTACTGATGCTCGTGGCTACAGAACTTATGGAAACCAGTTCACAGGGAAACAAAAGTGGAGAACTCAACCAAGAGGTGGGCTATGCATGTGTCATCATCCAGTGCTGCCTCCTGAGCTACTGTCTGTTGTGATCATGGGTGGAGGATGGGAACATATGTTCTTCATAGCAGAATTCTCCTGTGTTTCTCTTGAAAGTTTTTGAGAAGGTTATGTTTTTCCAGACAATTCAATCAAAGCAGAGTCTGATGTCTGCTCTTTCTGGCAAACCAATAATGGTAGAAACTTCAGCCTCTCTCTTGAATTTCAAACTTACCTAAAAGTGGAATGTTTTTCCCTGGCAAATGATTACTTACTTCTTTGAAAGTGGACAGTCTTTCTTTTTTGGATCCAACTCAGCCCTTCAGAAAATACTTCAGACTGAAAGAGGAGGAAGTAGAGGAGAACTAACTTCCTATCGTGCCTTACATAAAACATTTTGCTGAAATGAAGAGCCACTCAGACTACAAAAGTAAATATTTGTGCAAAGGGCACTCTGCCAGGTGCAATCTCAAGACATCCTCAATTTACTCATAGTGTTGTGACTCTTTAAAACACAAGTCTTTTAAGTGATGAAACCTAGCAAGTAATGGGAAGGAAGTTAACATCAGAAAATACACTTAGAAAAAGTACAGGATATTTTGCCTGGCATTTGCTACTTATTTCATAACTTAGATCAAGTAAGTGTTAAATATTCACAGTAATTTCAGAGAAGAAACATTCATGTCTGTAAAACTTCAATCTATTGCATTTTCGACATTTTTCTGTACAATTACAAAATGTCATCTGTCAGTGCTTTCCTGTAGAATTCTTTACTGTCAGTCCTTCCCTCTCCAGATCCAGTTATACCTTCAAGGTGGGCTGTAGAATTCCCTTCTCAATGAGATGAGTCTTCAGCGTTTTGTATATATTTAACTGTTGTTCTGGTTGAAGCACCAACAACTGCTGTAGCACTTTGCTGGGATTTGGACCCCTGATAACAGAGCAGAAAAGACAAAAAGTTCACACTATTATTTTAAGAGAGCTAAAGGAAGCATATACTTGTAATTTAAAATAAACCATGCATTTAAGTGCAGAGGATCAATCTTTACAGAATTGGAACAGCTCTTGATCAGAGCCCACTTTAATGCCCAACGTTAGTGTCAAAGGGAGAAAAAAAAAACCCTAGAACTATCTGCACTGAGAGGCATACAGTCTAGATGTGGGAAGAATGTGCAAACACAGAAGACAGGAACACGAGGCAATTTAGGGAGTGCAGATCTAAGTTCCACAAAAATCCGCAAAAAGGCAAATCCTGAGATTGGACAAGACACGGAAACCATTCTGTAAAAAAAAGGACCATTCCTGATGAGGATAAACCAAAAGAGAACATGAAGACATAATTTAAGTCTTTAGCTTCAAAGAAACGTCAGACAGGGAAGGTACCCTGTTGAAGAAATACCATCGGGGAACACTTCCCGAGCCCAGCCCTGAAGCCCCCACCTGGGATCTACAATGGGAACAACAGCCTTTTTTCAAAGAAGGTCTTAGGTAAACCCCAATATAGGAAACAAAATAAAAGCGGATCTCCTTTAGCAGGTGGAGAGCCCTGCCCGTCTTGCCCAGCATCCCCACTGGGGAGGAAATAAGCCCAGGCAGTGTTAAGTAAAGTATCCACTGGGCAGTGACACTGCTCTCCAACAGGTATCATACCAGCCTGTGCAGGGGCCTCTCCCTGGGTGGCTCCTTCTGGGGAAGCTCCTCCAACATCCCCATGTCAGCCCTTCTCTCTGCACCTTCTGATGGTGCACTCTGGGTCAGAAAAGACCCCAACCAGGATTCCCACCCTCCAGAGACACCATGACAGTAAGGGGATTGCAATTTCCTACCTTTGCACACTAGAACTCAACCCATTTATAAGCTGGAGATCACTTGTGTTTCTGCACTTACACTGCTAAAGTGCTATTTTGTTAAATTCAGAATGAACCTAATTCAGACTGTGATGTAGATGTATTGTTCTTTGCAATTTCTACAATCCACTTGAATAGGAAAAGCAGAGTGGGCTTACTTTTTGTGGAGAGGGATTAGGGAAATCCAATGAGAAAAAGCAAGATGGAGAATGGCAGAATTCTGAGAAAGACATGTACATGGGTAATTAAATTTATGACTTATTGCACAATAGCATGGATTAGCTGTCCCATGGGTCACCTTTGTACACGTGGCTCAACTCATTTGCCAGAAACCTGAAGCCATATGTCTCTCACAGCTACAGTCTACTCAAGTCAGGACACAGCTTGCCTTACATTTCTTCAAAAGATTCAGCAACTTCCTAACATAAACCCAGAGTAGGGCCCACAGAGAAAAGGAAGGCTATTCTAGCAACTTCAGCTAAATGCAAAATTGTCAGCAGGGGCTTCCAGCTAGTTGCACACTGGCTCTAGCACTGTATTTCTAATCGTCTAAATGTGTACTTTCAAATGGAGGACAACATGGCTCAGCACAACTTTTCCCTACTGAGAGAACAGATCAAAAAAAAAAAAAAAGTATGAGTTAATGCTCTAAAAGCTGCCATCTTCTGCAAATAAAGAGTTCTAAGGATTTAAAGCCACTAATTACTAATACTCAAATATATCAGTAAATAAATCATATGCAAATGGATTAAATACTCCAATTAAAAAGACAAAGATTGTCAGCTGGGTTATAAAAAAAAGAAAATCCTTGTGAGAAGAAAAAAGTGAAACACACTTTAAATATAAAGAAAAAGGCACACAAAAAATAAAAGGATAGACAAAGAAATATTATGCAAACATAAGAAGAAGGCTGATGTAGCTATACTTATATTCAACAAAATAAGCTTTAAACAAGTAGTATATAAAGATGGGCATTATAGAATGATACTAAGAGTGATTCAACAGTGAGACACGAGTTCTAAATGTGTGGACACCTAATACAACCTCAACGTATATAAAGCAAAAACTGGGAGATTCTGACAAAGCTCTCTTCATAACTGATACAGAACAGGCAGATGGAAAAACAAACCAAAAAATTCAGTACAGAAGATTTAGCTAAACTTCACCCAGTTGAGTTACAACACTAATCCTGAAACTGCACAATGCATATTTGATTCATGTGCACATACAATGTATATCTGAGTAGACAATGTGCCTGGGCAAAAAGGAAGTCATGACAAATATTAATACTGAAGTAATAAAGAGTATGTTTTCTGACCACAGTGGAATTAAAGCAAAAATCAAAAAAGGAAGGAGAATGAGAAAATCTCCATTTCTTTGGAAGCAAATCAATATACTTCTAAATAATCCCATGTCAAAGAAGATATAGAACTGGAAATCAGAAAATATTTGTATCTGAAAAATGAAACTATACATATAACATGTGGGATGAGAATACTTGAAAGTACTTAAAAAGAGCACTCAAAAAGCAGTAGTTAAGAGGAAATATATAATGTTAGATAAATATATTAGACAAGAAAGCTGAAAATCAGTAATCTAAGCTTTATCTCAAGAAGCTTGAGAAGGAACAGAAAATTGAACCTAAAGAAAGATAAAGGATGCAAAACCAGAAATATAGATCAATGGAACAGGATAGAAAGCCCAGAAGTAAACCCACACACCTATGGTCAATTAATCTGTGACAAAGGAGGCAAGAATATACAATGGAGAAAAGACAGTCTCTTCAATAAGTGGTGCTGGGAAAACTGGACAGCTACATGTGAAAGAATGAAATTAGAACATTCTCTAACACTATACATACACAACAATAAACTCAAAATGGATCAAAGACCTAAATATAAGGCCAAACACTATAAAACTCTGAGTGGAAAACATAGGGAAAACACTCTTTGACATAAATTGCAGCAATATCTTTTGGGATCCACCTCCTAGAGTAATGAAAATAAAAACAAAAATAAATAAACAAATGGGACCTAATTAAACTTAAAAGCTTTTCCACAGCAAAGGAAACCACAAACAAAACGAAAAGACATCCCACAGAATGGGAGAAAATATTTGCAAATGAAGCAACTAACAAGGGATTAATCTCCAAAATATACAAACAACTCATGCAGCTCTATGTCAAAAAAACACAACCCAGTCAAAAAATGGGCAGAAGATCTAAATAGACATTTCTCCAAAGAAGACATACAGATGGCCAAGAAGCACATGGAAAGATGCTCAACATCATTAATTATCAGAGAAATGCAAATCAAAACTACAATGAGGTACAGCCAGAAAAAGGAACAAAACTGGGTCATTTGTAGAGACATGGATGGATCTAGAGACTGTCATACAGAGTGAAGTAAGTCAGAAAGAGAAAAGCAAATACCGTATATTAATGCATATATGTGGAACCTAGAAAAATGGTACAGATGAACCGGTTTGCAGGGCAGAAACAGAGACACAGAGGTAGAGAACAAACGTATGGACACCAAGGGGGGAAAGTGGCGGGGTGGTGGTGGTGGTGGTGTGATGAATGGAGAAATTGATTGACATGTATACACTAATATGTATAAAATGGGTAACTAATAAGAACCTACTGTATAAAAAAATAAAATTAAAAAATTTAAAAACTACAATGAAGTATCACCTCACACCAGTCAGAATGCCCATCATCAAGAAGTCCACAAACAATAAATGCTAAAGAGGGTGTGGAGAAAAGGGAACCCTCCTACACTGTCAGTGGGAATGTAAATTGGTAAACCCACTGTGGAGAACACTACAGAGGTTCCTTAAAAAATTAAAAATAGAACTACCATATGATCCAGCAATCCAACTCCTGGGCATATATTCAGAGAAAACCATAATTCAAAAAGATACATGCAACCCCAATATTCACTGCAGCACTTGGGTACAATAGCCAAGACATGGAAGTAACCTACATGTTCATTGACAGAGGAGTAGATAAAGAAGATGTACATATATACAATGGAATATTACTCAGCCATAAAAAAGAACAAAATAATGCCATTTGCAGCAACATGGATGGACCTAGAGATTATCATACTAAGTAAAGTAAGTGAAGTAAGTCAGACAAGGACAAATACCATATGATATCACTCATACGTGGAATCTAATTTTTATAAATGAACTTATTTACAAAACAGAAACAGACTCACAGATTTCGAAAACAAACTTATGGTTACCAAAAGCGAAACATGGGGGGGGGCCGATAAATTAGGAGTTTGTGATTAACATACACACACTACTATATATAAAATAGATAACCAACAAGGACCTACTGTATAGCACAGGGAACTCTACTCAATATTCTATAATAACCTATATGGGTAAATAGTCTGAAAAAGAATGAATATTTGTAAAACTGAATCACTTTGCTGTACACCTGAAACTAGCACAGCATTGTAAATCAGCTATACGGCAATACAGTTTTTAAAAAAGTTAAAGGAATGAAAGATGAGGGTAGACATCAATGAAATAGAAAACAAATACACAACAGAGAAAGGTGAAGTCAGAATTTGATTCTTTGAAAAGATTAATGAAATAGATAAACTCCTAACAAGACGGCTCAAGGAAAATAAAAGTTAATACAAAAACGCTCACACTAGTATGGGTATATATTTAAAATGCATATTTAGAGACCTATAAATATGAGTTTCAATCCACATAACTCTAAAGGAAATACAGGTTTTCTAGGCTCAGACACCAGTAGAGGCCATGGCATATAAAGTAAACATGTGGTTGATGTGGTTAGCTTTCACACCTCAAACTGGCATTTCAGGGCAGATCCAAAACATTAAAGTTTAGTAATGAGAATAAAGCACCCCATATAAAACAGCAACACCCTCCACCTACCCCTCCCCGCCTCTCCACCCCCCACCCCCACCACATACACACCCATAATCCTGCGGACTGCTCTGTTTTTCTCCGTGGCTCTTATAACCACCAGACAAGCTACATTTGTTTGTTCTCCACTTCTGCCCCTTCTACCTCCAACTCCCCAGGAAGAAAATAAGCCCTGAGGACAGGAACTTGGTTTGTTTTGTTCTCTGCTGTATCTGTGCCCAGAACATTGCCCAACACATAACAGGCACTCAAGCAATAACTGGTGGACTGGATGAATCATTATGTCCTCCTCCTTTTTAAGTAACTCTTAGGGTTCACTGTCACCACAATGTCTACAGTTGAGAAATTAAATCTCCTGCTGTTCCAAATCTAGTACCATTCACCCACTCTAACTGAATCTTAACTCAGCCCTATTAGACTATGACATATACTATTTTTTTAACTTGTTCAAATGTAAGGGAAATAATTATAATTTAATCATACTGCCCAAGGCTACAGTGTGACACAGTTCCAGGAGCCACCGTTCCCTTCGCTATTATAGATTACCAATGACAAAAAAAGTAACTAATTCAAACTAATGCCTATCGAAATGAGAACTCCAAGAAATCATCTAATAAAACATTTTTTAAAAATCTAGAAGTACCTTATAAAACTTGTGATGTACACATGCACAAAAGTTGCCATCAAATACTGACAATCAAATCTGTCCATTATCCCGCCATGTCCAGGAATGGTGTTTGCAAAATCCTTCAGAAAAAAACAAACATATTAGTAACTTTTCAAAAAAATCACCTGCTCTAAAATTCCTACCTGTAAATGTCTCCTTGACATCATGGACTTGAAGGAAAATACTTTACTATTGGATTTTCCCACTAAATACAAAGTTATTAGAACATGTCCAACAGATTAAAACTGCATCTTTGGAATATGTGCCCATGTTAGAATGACTATTGAATTGACCCACAGCTTTCAAATAACACTAATTAAATGTTAATTAAATCTAGCACTAACTTTTTTTAGTTAATAAAACTTTTTCTAAATCAAAAATGCTATCAGCTATTACTAATCTAATCTTATAGCTGGCTCTTCTATTTAATCAGAAACTATTTGGGGAGCTATTTTAGTGTTGTTGACAGATATACAACTGGTTCTAGCTCATGTTTATCCTAATGGTTCTTACTCTGAGATAAATATTTTACTACTGTGATAAATATTTCTTTTTTTTATGTGTTGGGGTAAAAAGGAAATCAAAATAGATAGTTCATTTGGGACATGTTAGTCCATTAAATGGCCAAATTAAGGGAATGGTTAGTAAACCTCTGCAGATTGACCCTGTATAGATCCATCCACACGTGTCAGGGCCCAGGAAATGGAAATGACTAATTGTCCTTCTCGTTTACTCAAGCAACCTAAAAACCTCTAAAATGCAACAGCGATTCTACCTTCATTTCAGACATGAAAAGAAACCTCACCATTCACCAAGAAACCTTGGATTGGAGACCATTAAAGACCATTCTAAACATAACATTTCTCTGTTTAAAACAACTATTGAAAAACTCTTTGGTTAATTTTTGCCAACACATTTCCTTCCTTCTCTTCCCTACTAACCCAAGCACAATAGAGCCGTGGTAACTCCATCCCACTTTGCTGTTTGCAGCCTTTACAGGCTTCTCGTCTTGCATAGCTATTGCTACGATTCTTTGTGGATGTGTATTATCTCCCCTAGTCGGTGGTGAGCATCATGAGAACAGGGACAACATCTTGTACACTTTTGCATATTGCATTCCACCTAAGGTAGTATCTTCCCCATTGCAAGTGCTCGCTGAGTTCGCGTATTTATTTCCCTGGCCTCTGGGATCTGGCCACCACTCTCTGTAGTCTGACAACCTACTCCCTACCATGGCCACAGTGTTCCTCTTCCCCTTCCAGCAGCTGATCTCCTCTACTCCTTTGCACTTGCTGGAACTCCCTTCAATTTCTCTGCAGGACTCATTCTCTTCCTTTCCTGGTATCCCTGCTCAAACGCCACCTCCTCAGAGAAGCTTGCCCTGAGCACCCCACCTTCAGTAGACACTCTCTAACTCCCAATGGCACACATTCAGTCTTAACTTAGTGAAGCCATGTGAGGAGAGTTGAGATAATAGGCCAAATATATCTCACTTTACGAGAATTTAAGTTACACAAAACATAGGGCTAATTTTAAGTATCTGGAACAGGGATCAGCAAACTATGTCCCACAGACCAATTCCAGCCCGCTGCCTGTTTGTTGTAAGTAAAGTTTTATTAGAACCCAGCCACACCCATTCATTGATGTATTGTCCATGGGGTTCTCACACTACAGTGGAAGACTTCAGAACTGAGTAGTTTGCAATATTGCTGCTATTAGCGTATGATTTGGCCCTTTACAGAAAGAGTTTGCTGACCCCTGGTCCAGCAGAATGGAGAGTTACATATCCAAAGGCACTCTTGCACTTCCCTTCACTTGAGACTGTGACAGGACACTAAACCTAGACAATTCATAGCTGGATTCTTGGATGAACACTTGAAGGACCAAGATTCTGTGTCTGTCCCAGCATCAAGTGACACATGCCATTTCTAGAAAAAAGGGTGATATACCACTTTAAAATGTATTAACACGGCATGACCAAAACCTAACAAGAAAGAATATATACTCTGTGAGGCTGACACAAATAGGGTGGAAAAGTTTTTGCCCAGGGGCCTAATGCAGGAGACCAAAAGAGAACCAAATTCCAACTATATTACATTCTCTAATTATATTCTGTAACACTGTAACAAAGAATCTAAAACACACACCTTGATTTTGAAAGCTCTTTTGAATCCGCTGGCAAAGAATCCTCCGAATGGGCCAATCAAAGATGCAAATGTGGAAAGAGCAATGCTGTGTATCTGGAAAGGATACAAGCTTATTGTTTCCTAAAGAGGGAAGAAAAAGGAGAGGGGTTGGGGCTAACTGCATGAAAAATGTATTCGAGCACACCACCTAAACTCAGAGCCATTATATATAAACACTAAGTCAAAGCACATGCCATATTTTTGTTAATTTCACAAACTTTCAAGATCATAGGAAAAAATAAATGTGTAAGCTCTCGTTACCACTCTGCTTATTCAGCCAGCACTCCCTATTCCCTGTGTAAGCGTACTGAAAGCGCCTGGTGTGCTAAAATCTGATAGGCTACTTTTCTAATTTGTCTAGAAACTTCTACATCACTTGGGTCATAGGCTTACCAAGAATCAGTTAATTTCTGACATTGTTTTTTACCAGTAGCACTTTGTTTTTGTAATTATATAATGTATTTTGTATTTTATTTCACTTTAATTTTATATGACAAATGACGGGAAAGTTGGTCTTTCTCTTAAAATTAAGTTAAATGCTGTGGAAACACCTGAAAATAAAATGCTTTATTTTCTACCAAAATTAACATCAGCAAGACAATTATGAAAAGTTGAGAAGAATTCTGCAGCCAAATTATTTTGTAAATTCTCCACTTTAAATAAACTGAAACTACAAATTGTAGAGAGTGCATAATGGGTGTGGTTTAAGAAAGATCACTAAGAACTCCAATCTTTGGACCTGTTTGCAAAGGAACGGCCTTGCCCCAATCAAAGATTAGCAGTATCAAAGAGTTTTACAGCAGATAATAGATGGCTTGGACACTGAAAAAATTCTTGGAATCAATGTATTGAGCCCTCAAGTAGAGAAATAATTTGTTGGTTAACCTTCTTCTTAAAAAGTAACTTTAGTTAAAAGTTAAATATTTCAGGGAATTCCCTGGAGGTCCAGTGATTAGGACGTGGTGCTTTCACTGCCAGAGCCCAGGGTTCAATTCCTGGTCAGGGAACTAAGATCCCACAAGCTGTGTAGCACGGCCAAATAAATAAATAAATAATAAACGTTTCAGATGCATTCATGTGTACACACACACAATTATTTGATTCCCCACTTTAACCAACCACCCACTAGTCCTGGTAGCATAGATTAGCAGGGATCTACTGGACAGCATGTCAACATCCTTCAAGGTTGCCTTTAAATGGCAGCAGTGTTTTTGGAAGGGAAACTGATTTTTAGAAACAGCAGCTTTCTGTACTAGTAAAAGTCCCCTAAAAATCAAGTAATTTTTGAGCTGGTGAATTTTAATTAAGTTTTAAATTGAGTCAATTTATACCAGTTACACGTGAAACTCATTATAACTCGTTTGATTTGTAGAAATCTAAGAGACATTTAAAAATGTTTTCAAGATAAATTACCACCAGTATTCAAACCATTAGGCAAGTAAGTTTCTAACAGACAACTGGTTTGTGACAGTAATATTCACTTTATATACAAAAAAGGGAAATCACAAGGGGATAGAATATATGATTGATGTCAAGCAGACAGTGATCTGTATTACAGAGTTAAAAATTCTGCAGAAATCGATCTCTTGCAATAAATGAAGCTTAATCTTTGGGAGGGAGGATCCCCACCATGTTTATCTTACCCGTCTCAACAATGCCTTCAAAAAGGGAGGAAGTGAATAACTCTGAAGCTGGAAAAGTTCTGAGGGTTCACATTCTGTAACGAAGGAGTTTACATCACTTCGGTATTCCACTGGGCAGACAAAGTACTGATATTTGGATAACACGTAAGCGGCCTAAATAACAAAGCAAGCGTTTGTAAAACATTGCATGAAAATATATGTATGTGTGTGTGTGTGTGTGTGTGTGTGTGTGTGTGTGCGTGTGTGTATATATATAAAATTTTTTAAACGTATATATGTTATGTGTCAGAAAGGCCAGAAACAGAATGCCAAATTTTCCTCACATTCACATCCTGCCATGTATTTTCAAAGTTAACTGACCATAACTGATGGAATAAAAAACTTTAAAAAGCCATTAGAAAACAAAACTTTTTGGAAATCAGTATGATTATAATCTCAGTATAGGGAAAGAGGGAAGGGGAAAGTGAGAAAAAGAAGCCGATTTGAACATTTAGACAAGAATTATAGCAAGGTTTTACTTTTTTTAAGAACACATTTAATGTCAGCAGAAGCTAACAATTATAAAGGTATGGGAGAGTACAGGACTAAAGTTTCTTGCATAAAGGTTATATTGATTTCATCAATTAAAAAAATAAACAGTGATTTAAAATTACTAAGAAAACAGCACAGGTGAAAAACACCATTGTTCTTAACCAACCCAGACAATGTTGACTAAATTATTCTTTCCCTGGACACATCACTGCAATTTTTAAAACTAGCTGTCCTCAGCCATGGAAGAAGATACATAAAAACAAAATATCTTATTACAAATTTAAATTGCTATACAATAGTTCATTTTCTTTCTTTTACAGACATTCACACCATTATACTGCTCAAAAATGGTTGACAGAAGTGCAAATATGACACTAGAAATGGATATAAGTTGATTTTGCTTCCAAACAACAAGTTTCCTCAAAATTACTTATTAAAAAATATATAAGCTCCCTCCTTATTTCATCATGCATTACATTCTTATAGGATAGCTCTTTATTTTCTTCCAATGATATGGCTGTTCTTGTAGTATTTCTAAATTGTCTTTAATGATACCAGATTCTTGTAGTAGTATTTAACTTAATAATCCCTTCTTCGTAATGTATAATCATTGGACAGGACCAGATCCCTTTTCATTATTCTGTTCATCAGTTATTACCTCATTGATATTCTAACAAATAAACACTGGAATAATTTTTTTAATTCTATTGCAATTTTCATTGAGAATGAACTACACTGATAAACAGGAATTATGGTGGTTTTCCCCTCCAGCCTGGCCCATTTCCATTTATTTGTATATTTGCTCCCTCTCAAAGCTCCATGTTGTTATTAGTCACTCTATATTTGGCTATAAAATATATTCTAGAACTGTTAGGAACAAGACTCTTAAAAAATTAAACTTCCTGACAGTAATTTTTTTTGGTATATTTATCTTATATCCAGCCATTTTTCTGTACCTTTTTTGATTTCTCACAAGACACCTTTGAATAAAAACATAAATTCCATAACTGTACACTAATTTTTAAAACATTAACAATATCCATTATTCATAGCTAAAAGTAAACATCAATTATTTTTAACAAGCTTTTTCTGTAAACTGGACTCACAGCAGTAAGCACCCACTAGGCCAAGCAGCTGGCACGTGTTAAAGAGACAGAACTCTTCAATATCATTTGCATTCTCTGCTTTTATTCAAAGCCACCACCCGTCCCAGCACCTGTGCACCCACAAGGCAGAACAGCTGTTAGAAACTACCAAAACACAACAGCAGGTCTCAAGCCTAGCTTTATATGAGAATCAGCTGAGGGAGTTAATTGACCTGGAAGAGGGCTGGGACATAGGTGTTGTGTAAGCTCCCCAGGTGGTTCTGTTATGAGGCCAGGATGAGAGTTACTGGGCTATAGAATGCAGGCATACCTCATTTTATTGCACTCACTTTATTGTGCTTCACAGGTACCGTGTTTTTCACAAATTGAAGGTCTATGGCAACCCTGCCTCAAACAAGTCTAATGGCACCATTCTTCCAACTGCAAGACCTCAGTGGAGGAAGTAACTACAGATGTGGTAAAATAGCAAGAAAATTAGAAGTGGAGCCTGAAGAGGGGAATGAATTGCTGCAATCTCATTATAAAATGTTCACGGATGAGGAATTACTTCTTATGAATGAGTAAACAAAGTGGTTTCTTGAGATGAACTCTATTCCTGGTGAAGATGCTGTGAAGACTGTTGAAATGACAACAAAGGATTTAGAATATTACATAAACGTAGTTGGTAAAGCAGTTGCAGAGTTTGAGAGGGTTGACTCCAATTCTGAAAGAAGTTCTACTGAGCAGGGTAAAGTGCTATCAAACAGCCTTGCATGCTACAGAGAAATCCTTCATGAAAGAAGAGACGATCGATGTGGCAGACCTCCTTGCTGTCTTATTCAAGAGACTGCCTCAGCCACCCACCTTCAGCAACCACCACCCTGATCAGTCAGCAGCATCAACATCCGGGCAAGACCCCCCGCCAGCAAAAAGATTATGACTCAACGAAGGCTCAGATGATGCTTAGCATTTTTTAGCCATAAAGTATTTAAAATTAGGCATATATACTGTTTTTTTTTAGACTTAATCTAGTACACACTTAATAGACTACAGTATAATGTAACTGTAACTTTTATATGCATTGGGAAACCAAAACATTCACGTGACTTGCGTTATAGCAATACTCGCTTTATTGTGGTGGCCTGGAACTGAAGCTGCAATATCTCTGAGGTAGGCCTGTGGATTCTGTCTAGTGGGCTTCAGTTAATACATTATTAGCATTTTCTGATTTAATTCTTTTAGGTTCAGAATAGACTAATAAACTTGCTACCACTTTTCAAAATATAAATAAAATAAAAATCCTAGTGAAACTCACAATGAATCCAAAGATGACTGTGGAAAAGAAACCGCCAATGAATCCTTCCCAAGTCTTTTTAGGGGACAACTGAAAAAGGCCAAATAGAATTAGAAAGAGTTACTGCACTCACAAAACACACAAATACATATGTTCAATAAATTCCCATAATACCTTGTACCTCTCTCCTTCTTTTTTTCATATTGGAAAGGCTTTGCAACCCTTTTTCCTTCAGTCCATGATGGTGATTTATTTGTGCAAATCTCTCTAGTAGAGTTGAACACATATTAGGCCTTCAGACATCCTACATACTGTGAATATGTTTGTTTCTGTAAATAGCCTCAATTTGCTTTTTTCACTCAAAGGACTATAAACTCTATGCTGAAATAATTGTCCCATAATGTTCATGCTTATATAAACCCCCAGAATAATGTAATAAGGATGAGACATATTCATTCATTCTAAGTATACATGGTCTGTGTTGACCTACTACTGATCAAAAATAGAATGAGTATAACAAAACATGGATTCTGCAGCACCCCAGATTTTCATATATTCCCAAATGCCAAGCTTACAACAGTCCTCTTTCTGAAATGGCAAAAAGCTCCATAGCCCTAGGTACAGTATTTGCCTCACAAGTATGCACATATCCTCCCTCCTTTAGTCACTATATATGTCTTTCTCCATGAAGAAACATATTGGGCTTCTGAGAATACTGTTTGTTTCAGATTCCGGCTATTGTTTATTAGTCCATGGAGCATTCAGGGAGAGAAATCTGGAGGAAATTCTAGAACTTGGTGAAGCAGGGGCAGGAGAAAAAGATTTAGGAGTAGACAGTGCTAACTGGCTGAGGCGCTCTGTAAGATAAGGACTCAGTACGGGGCTATGATCGTCAGGAGATCACTGACGGCCTCTGTGATGTTCCTTTCAGTGGATCAATGGGAACAGAAGCCAAATAAATATCGGAGGGAAGTTTCTGAGATAGAAATGGGTGATATGCTAAACTACATGAGCTCTTGTCCTGAAGTTTATAAAGCACCAAGGCTTTCTTGACCAATCTGACAACAATTCCGCCATAGAGAAGTGACTGATATACAATGTCTCCTAGGATAATTCAATATTATTGTCATGAAGTAGGAGTTGACTCAAATTCAGAAGTGCCTGCTGATTATTTTAAAGATAGCTCATCGAATTAAATTGACCTAAATCATATATATATTTTTTTAATTTTAATTTTTTTTTTTTTTTTGCAGTACGTGGGCCTCTCACTGTTGTGGCCTCTCCCGTTGCAGAGCACAGGCTCTGGACGCGCAGGCTCAGCGGCCATGGCTCGTGGGCCTAGCCGCTCCGCGGCATGTGGGATCTTCCCGGACCAGGGCACGAACCCGTGTCCCCTGCAGGCGGACTCTCAACCACTGCGCCACCAGGGAAGCCCCCCATATCATACTGATTTAGGGGTTAACTTGCTTAATTACATCTGCGTATATTATACAACTAATCCAGCCTGGTAATTCACTAGAAATTGATGTTCAAAATCAGACAGTGAGATTCTTCTACAGCCTCTGAGGGCTCCTAAGCCAACAACTTCTCAGCTGGTATAAAATCCTTGACTACTTCACCACTTGCTCTTGTGCTGAAATAAGTTTTAGAGACTTTAAAAATGTATATAGCTTGCTGGCCAGTATCCCCACAGCTCAGCTTAATGCTGTGTGCTGGACTCCTATGTGGGGAAGAATTTAAGGTGTTTTTGAAGGACAGGCCATCCACGCACTCCTCTAGGAATGATAAACTATCCTTACATCACTCTGAACAAAACAGGTTTTCTATCTCAACAATTGTCTCAGTCCCTCCATAAATGCCTTCATGTGATAACATCAAAATAGCCAATTAATGCATTTGTCAGAATGTTATAAAAGACTTTGCCCGTTATCTGAACTGAGTGAATCCTCTATGTAGCCCCAACGTGAAAAGCTTTTTTATTTTTATTTTTAAAAGAAATGAGTTCTAGAAAAAGGTCTGTTTTTCCATGAGGAGTTGGTTTCTTTCTTTCTTTCCCAAGATGGGAACTGTATAAATTACTTCATTTTCTTCTTTGCCTCCACTGACTGTAAACAGAACCAAATCTAAGGCAAAACTACATGGTCTCCTCATGTGTACTTTCCTGTCCCTTATCTTCACTTTTCCTTATCACTTGCATCATTCATCAGTGTTTTATTGTAGGACCTCAAATTTTTTCTTAAAACAAATTTGGGTATAAAAGTCTTTCAAATGGACATGAGTATGTGACAATGGTATAATATACACTTTCAAACAATCTGGTGAAGGAGGAGACAAATGAGATGGCTTGAGAGGAAAGCAGAGTCAAGGACAGGCCTGTTTAGAGGGTTGTTGGGAAGCAGAATAAAGAACCGCACAACAGCCAAGGGAAAGAAACCAGCAAAAATATGACATGAGCCTTCACGGGAGAGGGGAAATGACCAAGGAGCCAAGAGAGTATCTGATGAAGAACCAGACGGAATCATTGGGAAATACAGATCACTGCCTCTGCACTGTGGCTGCTGAGGGCAACTAAGGAAAATCAAAGCACCTCAGAAATCAAAAATGTGCAACAGCACCAAATGGTTGGGAATTTCTCCAGTGGCTAATCTTTTAAGTTATGGTCAGGGTTTGCTTGTGGTATTTTTCCATTACCTTAATTAATGGAGTTCTTCCAAAAAAAAATCCAAAAAGGTAAGCAGTTATGTCATTGCAAATAACACTTGATATTGGAACAAGGAACCTTAAAAAAAAAAAAAGTCCATATGATTAAGTGGCAACTATTTCTACAGCTTATGACTCATAATGAACCAATGCAATAATCCTTTGGATTACATTGCAGCCTAGCCAGAACACAGCACGTACTAAAAGATTAATTAACAGACACAATAAATACCAACCAAATTTGCCCATTTAGCAATTAAGCAGAGCAAAATCTATAAACATACGAGAATATTGCTAATGAAAATATTAAATAATCAACTTAACTTTAAAATTAAACAATCAATTTCTATAGCTATGGACTTTCAAATTTCAGTTTTATGAGGAATGCCAACTAAAAACTGTCACTCGCCATCTGGCTCTACAAGGATTAGGTCACTAGCCACTGCGGTCGCTGACCTCCAACACACCCTGAAAGGAGTTCAGCACTGAGATCAGGAATGAGGCACTGTGTGCTCTGGGAAACACTGGCAGAACAGTCCTTCAGAGAGTTAGATATTTTTTAGGAGAAGATTTTATGAGCCCCATTTCTTACATCTTCTCATATCTAGAAAAGCACTAAAATCATTAACGGAGGCATCTGCTCCCCATGACCAGCAGCAACCTTCTGCCAAAATGTGTGCTTGCTGGCACGTGCCCCCTTCACTAAAACCATGTATTACTGACCTCCCCTCCGACCTCTTCGCAGCAGTTCCTCAGAGCTATCTGAGAGGCTGTTCTCCCAGGCTATAGTCCTCATTTGGCTCCAAATAAAACTTAACTCACAACGTTCACGTTGTGCATTTTTTTCAGCTGACAGGAACAAGTTACAATGGTATAATTTTTTAAAAACAGCCTTTCAAAAGAGAAACGAGTCAATTGTTCAGACAGTATAATCTGATAAACTTACACCAAGCTCTTAATACAAACTCCTTCAGGAAAAATTATTTTAATACTATCTTAGCCTGTAGTTGCATTAAAACCCTACTAACTGTACAGAACCTACTAATTTCAGTAACTGCCTCCCATCAACTAAAAGTTTGTATATGGAAGACAATCTTAAAATGATTCCAATTGTTTACACACACATACATATCTTGGTTAAAAAAACACAAACCTGTCAAGGGAACAAATTTATCTTGAATAAACCCAACAATTATAGAAGATTTTAATTACTGTATTTTAAAAGAATGTGGAGAAAATATAGTCAGATTTCTTAAAATCTTAAGTTTTTCTCCACTCTTATTTTTAATTTATAATAATTGTTATAATTTAAGCTAATTTTTAACTGATAAAAATGCTTTCTGAATCTGCAACCCACTGCTTATATAGCAAGTAACTCCAAATACCCGAAATCTGGACACCAATTCCTATTATAAAGGCAGAGTAGAACTTACCCAACTTTCACATTGTTTGCCGAAAAGCAAACTTTCCCTTTTTTCTTTTTTTTTTTGCATCCCACATAAACAATACACTCTTTTTAAACACAATTCTTTGTTTTTTTAAAAAAAAGTCATATTAAGGTGTAGTAACACCTGAAAATGTAATTAATTGTTTGGTGCTTTTATGAGGACTTCCTGCATTTTATTTGAAACCTGAATAAGGAAGTTTTCCAGTTGTTAACAAAGCATTTGTCTTCAGTTGTCAAACAGTAAGCAAAACTCAGTAAGCTATTTTAATGGAATAGAGCAACAACAAATAGTACATTTTAGTAGAAATCTGTAAGACATTGTCGAATGTAAAAGAGCTTTAAAAGTGCTATGACTTAAATATAAAGCAGCATAATACTGTCACCTTACCATATCATGCCTTCAAACAGATTTTGGATGACAAGATGTGACTGAGTAACTGTTATCAGTAAAGTGACATGAGTCCATGCGAACTGTTAATAGCACAACAATACAACAATTAGTGAACACAACGGATCAGTGCAGCCCACGAAGCAATTTTGAAACACAAATTTCTAGCATGACTGTTGGTCACATTTCATAAGATAAGGTCATACAAAATAAATGCCGTTAGTAAATTATATTAATTTTAGTGCCCACTGAGATCTGAAAACCATGAACACATTTAACAAAGTAACCTTAATTTATACACAAATCGAATGCTAATAATATTGAGATACACTACTAAGTTTAAAAAAGACATATTAAAAAAACATAATCTTGAATCATGAGATTAAAATGATAATGAGAAGTTTATGCTGTTGCTATGGCATTTAGATAGGAGCTAAAACTCTACTCTGGCTGCATTCTCTAGTTATTAGAAATGCTAAAAACGATTTTTCTCTGAGTTCACTATGGTACCATTTTCCAATAAAGAGTTATTTCTAACTTCAAATGATTCAAGCCAGCAGGGATCAATTGCCCTTAAACTCAATCTTTTCATACTTGAAAGTTGATCTTCACAGCTCTGTGCAATGACAGTACTCCATTTCAAATTTTCAAAGTCCTCTGTGTTTCATCAATTCCATCTAGCCTGAGAGATGGCCACTTTAACCACTTTTAGCATCATTAGTATGAGCAAATTGTGAACAAAAAGCGCTAACATTTCTATGTACTAGTCTCATAATTTTTATTGGAAGTTATGACTTTTCAAAATTCTTAGGATTTTGATTTATTCAAAATAAACCTATTTTCCATTTCAGCAAAAAATATATTATATTGGTTGGGTTTATTTTTTAATTTTCATCTGCTTATACAATCCAATTCTCTTCTACCCTGATTGCTTCCAAATGCATAAATGATTTTTTCCAATAGGAACCATTTATATTTTCATAGCAGATTCTAGTATTTCTAATTGTCTTGATGGTTTCTAGATTTTCACTCTTTCCTCTCAAGACCCCCAGAAGTTAGAAATGTAAGAAATACTACAATTTCCCAGCTATGGTGCTCAGCAGGATGTCTTAATGGGAAAAAGCACAGCATGAAAAATAGGAAATATACCCCAAATCCAAAACAAGCCTTACTAATACATGAATTCACAGATCTAAATACTACATTTTGCGTTTTACAGTCTTATAATTAGCTACCTTTTAAGGAAATAAGAGAAGGTCATCATGTACAATGATAAACTTCATAAAACACTGAACACTGTTCAGTGATACACTGAATGAAGTATCTTTGGCCACGAAGAATCATGTGGCTGTATAACTATAGCTGCCAAGAAAATGTAAGCTCTGTTCCCCTTATGCCCAGGCTAAGAGCAAGTAAACATAGCTACTTCCCATACAAAAAGATGGTAGATGTTTCCAAGACTTACTAACTGTCCAGGAGACTGTGGAAACACCTCAAATTTCTACAAATTTAGGGAACCCAAATACTTGAATTTAATTTTATAGCCTTTGAAAATATTCAAAGAAAAAGTTTTTAGGAAAACTTTGGAAACAGTTAAAATTTTTAAATCCTCAAAAAATTTTCAACTTCAACTTTTTATATATAATAGTAATCCAAAATTCAAATATCTCTCACATTTAGGCAACTAGAAGATTAGATTATATCTTCTCACCACAGAAAAAAATAAAGGTAAAGGTTTTTATTACATACAGTGACTACAGAATAATGGTTAATACACACCATATAAAACTGCAGACGATAATGTTTCTTCACCAAGCTCAGCACAAACATGCAGAAACCTGTTCAAGAACAAAAAACATGGCTTATTGTATAATTTGTTACAAAGTTTAAGATTCACTGAGCTCACATAAGCCAAATTTCTATACCACATCTAGCTATGCTTTAGCTACTCACTCATATGCTCTCCTGCTCTTCTATTAAGCATTTTAAGTAAAAGTTTCTCGAGGGAAATGACCCTGTATTCTTCAAAATGCCTAATATAGTCCATGGCATAAATTCAATAAACATCTTCTACATTAATTAAGTGAATTAGTCCCTTGCTAATGTGTGGACATGGAAAAAAAGATCCTGAATTTCAGTTCACTAAAATTTATTTGCTAGTCAATCCATCAAATGTCTGTGTAGAATGTTTCAATCTCTATATAATATAAAAATTAATAATAATTATTATGGCAGCTGACATCTACTGAACAGTTACTATGTTCCAGGCTCTTGTATAAGCATTTGATAAGCATTAACTCATTTAACCCTTCCAACCTTCCTATGATGTAAGTACCCATTATCATCTCCAATTTACAGATGAAGAAAAATACACAAAGGACTTTATTAATTTACTGGGGATCACGGCGCTAGAAAAGAGTTAAACCCTTAGATCCTAATGACTCTCAAGAGTCTTGTGGTTCCATAAACTATCATCAGCAAGATTCAGGTTAAGAGTGATTTGAAATTTCTCAGACCCATGTTATAATAATTACAGTAAAACATAATACTCTTAATAATTTCATTATGTACAAACAGTATTTGTGTTTCTGTTTATATCCTACAAATTTATTACCATAAAATTTTACTAAATAAAAATTCTACCTAATGAAATGAAATCTAATAATTATATACTAAATAATGGGAGGCAATATGAAGCACTTTTTGCCCAATATATCAGTGAAGTTCTAAAGATAATTATTTTTTTTACAGAAGTAGATACTGGAAATGCATAAGCCAAGTTTAATTTCAGCTAAACAGCTACTCATGAATTCTATTCTGCAATATCTTTAGAGAGTTCTCTAAGATAGAAAACAAACTGTCACCTAATCTATCCCATATGAAATAAGTACTAGACTTTGTATATCTAAGTTATACTTACCAAGGCAATTCTACCCACTAGAGTAAGCAAGGTTGATACTACTCTGACCAGAGCAAAGAATCAAACAGCAGCTGCCGGCAGCTATTTTTTGATGACCGATTTGTAATGTTAGTGTAAAGGATGATGATAAAGGAAGAGAATGCACACTGGCTCCCAGATCCTACCTCACCTCCTATTTGTCACCTATAGAATCTAACTGATTGAACTGCAAAAGAAATATGGAAACATTCTCTGAGTAGAGGCAAACTGACAGCCATATGTCACTTTCTTGAGAAAAAGAAAGCAAGCAAGGTGGGGCAGGGGGAGATTAAAACATGGAATTCATGGCACTGAAATCACCAGTAGCATAAAAGACCTCTTTAAAAATCATTGCTTTTAAATTTCTCTTCAATAGCAGGTAGATTTATTTTTTTGCTTAAGGAATAATGAAATTTCTATGCTGCTTTATGCCATTGGTCCATGGTTAAAGGTGAATGTAGATTGGACTTGGTTCAGAGGCTAATAGGGTAAAAGCAAAGCAGAGGCAAGACAGATGCCTCTGGAACCTCCCCTTCTGTCCAAACGGACCTCTCTGGCTCTCCCTGCACAGCCTCGGGAATCTCTCAACATCATTAACTATGAATTACCTCTTCACAAATACTAGTACAACACGTTTGGTTGGTCTCTTTCTTGAAATTATATAATACCATTCACCCTTAAGCACTTCTTCAAATAAAATTACCAGCAGACTTATTCAGTACTTTCCTAATGATGATTTTTATCCAGGACAGCCTTGGCAACTCACTTTTACCTGATCCAATTTCACTGTTAAATCAACCAGTAGCAATGCAGCTGTTTAGGGTGCTCTAATAAAGGATATAATTATCTGACTCCTAGATACATTAAAATAATACAGTTCTCTGAATGTGGAAGAGGAGGATGTAAAGTGTTTTCCTAGCATATCTAAGGTTAAATATTATTTTCAAAGAAAAAGAATCCAAAAAAGAAACATAAGTTTACTTTTTCATTCACAACCATCTAGCTATGTGTGTATTTTATGTTTAACCGTGTAAAAATACATACATGCTATATTTCAATAAATCTATGGAAAGGATAACTTTATACATTTAGATCCATAGTTTTACTTTTTCCCCCATTAACAAAGAACATTCGTACGGTTATATTTCCAATTAAAATCATAGGATTTGTTACAGTATTGTAAACAAAAGTATTCATTGAAAAAGTTTCCTAACATACAGTTCTTGATATATAATTATGTTTAGTTACACTTACTGATCACCATTTATATAAACAGCACTGTGCTGTCCATGCAAAGATGTGTATATCCTGTTGCCCAGTATCAAGGAGTTTCCAGGCGGTTAGGGAGAGCCAGTTACCCAACAGATTACAGACAATTATATTCAAAAAGAACAAAAAAGAATGAGATTTCTAAAGCAGTCAGGAGAAGTGAAGGGAAAAAAAAAGACATTGAAAAGTCCAAAAGATGGGATAGAGGAAATTTCCGAAAAAATGAACAATCAAAAAATATTTATGGAGCACTTTAGATGCACCAGACACAAGATACAAAAAAATGGATAAGATAGTCATTCCACTCAAGGAGCTCATAATCTAGTTGAAGAGACAAGAAAATATAAAGAAATAATCAAGTTATTTTTAAAATTTCTTATTGGTGATGAACCAATTCAGTAAACACATGCAGTCCTTAACTCAAAAAACAAACAAAGATGGACCCAGGATTAAATACTGGAGCTTACTGACTCATCCTTTACTTTCACATGGCTGTATTTTTCATTACACTTCCCTAACTAATCCAACTCCAAAACATTTCAAACATCATGTTCAACAAATTCAGAAGCACACTGCATTATGTGTGCCCATATTCAGCCACTAGAATACAACTGAGTTGTTTTTAAAAAGTTTGAACGTGCACTGTAGAAATTCACACAAACCAACCATTATATTGGCTAAGATAGAGAAAAGTTTTCTCTTAATCTGCACGGTGAGTTTAAGGTATAGAACAAGACTGATATGTGTATAGATTCTAATCATCTTAATTTAAAAACTGTAAGTGGTTTTGAAGATACAGTCCTTTATGAACAGTTGTTTGTGACATCTTTCAAAGATTTCATCACCATCCTTTGAGATAAAACATATTCAGGATATTTGGAAAAACATTCTTAATCATGCATTAATTTTAGCTATAATTTAATCTTATAAGTCCATTGATTTTTCTTGAATTCAAAGTATTATATTCAAGTTATAACTTACCCTTAAGGGTTTTTAAAAAGAAGTCAAAACAGTTAGCCATGCACAAATACAAGCAAAAACAAAACAAAACAAAAAAACCAAACCACTAAACTTAATATGCCTTTAATATGCCTATCACTGGTTAGATAAAGAGATCTTAAGGTGACGATATTAAGGGTCCAACATCTTAAGCTTATTCACCCATCATTACTAGACATGTAATCACATAGTTGCTCTGGTTTCTAAAGAGCCCCAAATCCAAGGCCCCAAGATCTTTTTAAAATATATCCAGACTCTAGAGAAAATGTTGTTCCTATAATTTTCTTTTTGCTATCACTCAAATTCATTTTACAACAAAATTATCTAAGTGTCAGGATGATTTCCAGGTCCTAGTCAGTGAGTCATCTGGTATAATATTAAACACGTCATTTAATGTGGTGGGCCTTGGTGAGTGGGTCAGACCTGGATATACATACATTTTATTTTAATAAAATTCAACGTCAATGAAAGAGCTTGTGTTGTCTCTGGTTTTTAAATCTGCTAAGACCTATAAAAGTCATTTGACCACTGCAGAACTAAAACTTGGGCAGGACCCTTGGAATGCTGTTTAACGAGAAGAATTCCAGAGATTTTTATCAGCATAATTTGAGAGAAAGGTACAAATATCTCAACAGAGCACACTTTCTATTTCCTTACTCCTGTTTTAAAGTCTACCTTCATTTGCTAGACTAAGCTCATGAATGTTGCTAATCACTTCAAGAATCACCAGTAAGGCCTCAAGACCCAGCAACCAAAACACTGATGCTGAAAAAAAATCTCTCTAAAAAGCACTGTGTGTGGATGTGCATGTTCTCAGCTTCCTGATCATTCATCTAGTAAATGTGTATTGGGAACCTAAATGCCAGACCCTGTGCTAGGCACTGGAAATTAAAAAAACAAGAGAAACACAAAGTGAGTGCTTATGGTCATTTAATAGGGCCATATTTAGGACACGTGTAAAATGATAACAGATATAGAATACTATGAATAATTTATATTGGAAGTTTCATCTCTTATCCCAGTAGCTCCTAGCTTACTACAAAGTTGTGTTTTACAGAAACAGACTCACAGACATAAAAAACAAACTTACAGTTACCAAAGAGGAAAAGGGGTGGGGAAGGGATAAATTAGGATTTGGGGGTTAGCAGATGCAATCTATAAAATATATATAAAATAGATAAACAACAAGGGCCAACTGTATAACACAGGGAACTATATTCAATACCCTATAACAAACCAAAATGGAAAAGAACATGAAAAAGAATTTATATATGAATCACTTTGATGTACACCAGAAACTAACACAACATTGTAAATCAACTATACTTTAAAAAAAAAAAAGTTTTGCTTTAAAAATACTTCTGTAAGACTGTAATAATGTCAATATCCTGGTGTTATCTTACACTGTAATTTTTCAAAATATTACCATTAGTGGAAACTAGGCAAAGTGCATAAGGGACTCTCTATTATTTCTTAAAACTACATGGAAATACATAATTATCTCAACAAAAAGTACATTTCAAGCCAATAATTTGGGATACAAAAGCAATTTTTCATAGACTATCATAAATAGCAGTTGGTTTCTAAGATCAGCCCACAGTATTTTAGTTTTTTTTTTTTTAATTTTTTGGCTGTGCCACGCAGCATGTGGGATCTTAGTTCCCCAACCAGGGATTGAACACCCGCACCCTGCAGTGGGAGCTCGGAGTCTTAACCACTGGACCACCAGGGAAGTCCCATAATTTTTTAAAATTTATAACCCTCTTAGTATTAAATATAAACCTCAGGCCAAGCCTACATTATATTTAGTATGAATTAGAGCAACAGGTTCCTATCTTGTCACTCTATTAACGTTATCCAACTCATCCTTCATTTAATTACAGATCTGGTTATATCATCTCTTAGCTTAAAATCCTCCAGTAGTTTTCCTGGGATAAAGCCCAAACTCTTCCCAGAATACACAAAGCTTCTCAAGACGGGGCTCCTGCTTACCTCTGCAACCTTCACTGCCTCTCACTGGTCCTGAACATGCCACCCTCTCTCGTTCTCAAGACTGTACAGCTGTTCCCTCCTCCTGGAATGCCCTTTCCTTCTGTCCACCTGGCAAACACCTGACTGTTCTTTGCTTCTCATGACACCTGTCATCTCTTCTTCAAGGTGTTCTTTGGCCTTCCCACCCCAGCAAAGAAAGGCCCTCCTTCCCCTTCTTTATGCTCTTAGAGGTCCTTGTTCACATTCCAGCAATGAACTAGGGGACATGTGTCTCAGCAGTTGCAATACCCTGGAAGGCACGCTACCAGCCTATTTCCCTTGGTATCCTCAACACCATGTACAGTACTGGCACTTGGAAGGCACTCAAATGTTTGTTGAAGGAACAACACTGATGATTTTCAATAAGCTTCCATGATTCTATAAAAGAGCAAGTGGTAAGCTATGTCCATGGTGGAAATCAGTTAGAAAAAAGAAGAAATACTGATTTTGTTTTATAAAAGTAGAGTCAGAAATTTTAGGGAATGAAGAAACAATGACTGAAAAGGGTTGGTTGGGAGGCTATCATGTATACAATGTTATAAAAAGAAACAAGAAAGAAAATAAATTACATTGTCTTTACCCTCTCAATTGAGAAGTTATTTTCAAGTATAAGTTAGAGGAAATGCAAAGCAAGGAAATAGTAGTTGCCTTATTTTCTGACATGCTACCCATCAGATTTTGCTGTATGCACATCAGATGTAACTGCAGATACGGAAGAAGTGAGATAAGTTTAGATGTGCCAATATAAAACCACAAATAAGCTACATTAAGTGGGAAAAAACAGGTACAGGATGGTCTGCTCTCATTTGTGTACAAAAATGAGGGAAGGAGGATATAAACATATAAGCTTGAATACTCAGATAATGTCTGAATAGTGGTAGGAAGCCCCTGGAAAAAGTAAGTAAGGCTCTGAGCGGGGAGGGAGATATCACGGAATACTCCTTTTCAGCCCGAATTTTTACTGTGGGAACGTATTATGTTTTCATTTTTAAAAACTAGTTTTAAAAAACCATCCTAGGGGGCTTCCCTGGTGGCGCAGTGGTTGAGAGTCCGCCTGCCGATGCAGGGGACACGGATTTGTGCCCCGGTCCGGGAAGATCCCACATGCCGTGGAGCGGCTGGGCCCATAAGCCATGGCTGCTGAGCCTGCGCGTCCGGAGCCTGTGCTCCGCAACGGGAGAAGCCACAACAGTGAGAGGCCCGTGTACCACAAAAACAAAACAAAACAAAACAAAACATCCTAGGTAAGGACTCTTGAGATGCTTGGCTTTTGGTGCCCTCCCTATTCAGAACTCAGGCGTGGTGCTGAGAGAGCCAAGCCCCATGGAGAGCCCACACTCGGGTGCCTGGGTCACCAGCCAGCACTACGGGTCACCAGCCAGCACTAACCGTGCCCGTGAGAGTGAGCCACCTTGGACGTCTAGCCCACTTAGGACACACATGACCAGTACTACCACCATCTGACTGCAACTGTAGGGGAGGCCTTAAGTTAGAACTGCCCAGTGAAGCCCAGTCAATCCACAGGACCAGGAGAAAAAAATTAGTTGTTGTTTTAAGCCAAGGGAAAAATAAAATACTAATCAAGGATTTCTGTTTTTAAATGGTCAATTGTTCATGTATTACATTTCTTTCTCTTCCGTCCTGGTAGCCCACTAAATCATGTTAAAAGAAATTAAGGCAAAAACCTACAGAGCAAAGAGAATTGAAGAAATGTCAAGGAAAAAAGAAGAAAAATGGCTACAAAATTTGGAAGCTGGAAAACCGACTGGATGACTTTCAGCAGATCTGAGAAATCAGGGACAAGTAGAAGTATTTTCTAGAGAAAACTGAACAGGAAAGGCTCACTGGAAGGCAAGGTTAAGGCTTGGGCTTCTAAACTAGAGGACTAAGTACAAGTCTACTACTAGTAAGTGGAACCCTAGCCAAAGCAGTCAATTGTGAGAACGGAACAAAGATATTATTAGAAATGTATGAACATAAAATATTTACCTTCTAAGCACATTTCATAGGAAACTATTAGAGGCTATGCTGCAGCAGAATGAGGGTGTTATCCTAGAAATTGGAAGACACAGGAAAAGCCAAATCATGAGGGGACAGCTGACAGCAGGCCTACAAGCAGCCAGTCCAAACAGGAACAGGAGCCCAGACGTCCCTGGGATAAAGGTCACCAGGAAAAACGGGAACTAATCAACTCTCTGATTTCTGTGAACATCTGAAAAAATGACCAACAGACATGGGACAGACTCAAAAGGAAAATTAAGGATTCCTACACAGAAATTTATGAAGGTGGAAAAGAAAAGGTAAAGAGCAGCTATTAAGGGCAGGAAAAGCAAAAAGTTGTAAAAGAATGGAAATGTAATCAAAGATACTATTTGGCTCTATAGAAAGTGATATTTTAGGTACCTATTTAATAATATTAATAATGACAATAAAAAACTGAGTATGGAGAAGAGACAGAGGTTATTACAGGAAGTCAATAGATAATGCCTAAATAAATTAAGAAATAGGCATATTACTTAGAAAAATGAAAACAATCTGCAAGTGTTGGGGTGCAGGGTTATTGTTTACATTAACAATAACATTATCAGATTCTTTTGACATATCAGATTTTTTAACTAATGCACATATGTTAATGACTTATATTTTAATTAATCACAATTTTACTATTAAGTAATTATAAGAATTATATATGAAATAAAGTTATTGTTATTACAGACACTTTTCTTGCTAATAAGAAGTCTTGCCTGTAAAAATATAGACTAAGAAGGTACAGTATGCTTCTCTCCTGTAATAGTAAAGAATCCATCCCAGAATTTACCTTACATTTAACAAAATGAATCAAACGTGTTTGTTTGATAAGAGAAACTATGCAAAATTTCTTTCTATCATGAAAAAAAATGTCACAGATGAGGTTTAATGAACGTAAAATCAGAGTCAAGCATATTATTCTCCAAAATTTTAGCTGTTAGCAGTCATAATTAATCTCTCTAATAATCATGATTCTTCTAAACTGATTAGAATTTAAAATGAAATAGCTACCTTAGAATGAATAACTTCTTTTGCCCTTGAAAGAACAAAACTACTTTTCAATATCTATTTCCAAGAATGAAGACATCTACATTCAATATCTATTTCCAAGAATGTATGTTAGATATATCATTTATAATTTTAAAAAATTAAGTAATGGACTGAGAAAACTGGACTTAACAAAAAACCTGAATGTAAAACAGGCAATTTCTTTGGAAAATGTAGGTTCCCCTGCCCCAAAAATGATTCTCTGAAAATTACCATTATCATTTCAGATTGTATTTCATTCTCTGGCTTCCTAGAATCAGAAATAAAATAGAGACCAAGATCTGCAGGGATGTTTATTAAAACTGAACACCATGAAAAAGATCATAATTACTGAATATAAATGACATACTTTTAAAGGACTGGACATTCTTCCCCACATATTCTGTATATTTTTTGTTTAATGAGAAATGGAAGTCATCCATATTGTATTCAGTTTCCAGAATTGTATTAACTGGAGAAGAATTTATTTATGAGAAACTCCTAAGAGCTAAAACAGTAACTATTAAAAGCTAAAGTGAAAACTCACAAATAAATTTCATTTCCTCCTTTAAAAGTGGAAATAATGATAATGATAAATACTTAAATAGTACCAGGTACTGTTCTAAGTGCTTGACAAAGAAACTGAGGCACAGGTAAATTAATTAAATTTCCCAAAGTTTATTTAGCTAGTAAAGGGTGGAACCAGGATTCATACTGGCAATCTGATTTTTAAACGGTACATATCTAAATCAATTTCTTAGAAATTTCTTTTATGATTGGTAAACTTTAATGGAAAGCAAATCTATTAATTCTAATGTTATCCTAACTATCTGATTCTTAATCTAAAATCATAAAAACATGGGGCATAGCCTACTGTAAACAAATATGTATATTTTATATATATATATATATAAATGAATATATAATAAACCATGTCAGGAAAACTAAGTACCCCGAATAATTCTATATGAAAACTCTATTTCCTAGGAACAAATAAAGCAATACATATGTGAAAGTTTCTTTGTAAATTATACTTGGTAAATAACCCATATATTTAAAAGTGCCTTTACTATAATTTGTGAAGAAAATTTTCAAATATATGGAGTGACTATTAAGCAAGTACTTTTTTTTAAACCACCATTAGGGAGTAACTACTGCTTAAGACTGTGATGAAAGAAACAGCTTTATATATGAGACTTTTTACAAAGAGAAGCTGGATTAAAATGTAACAAATAAAGGATGTTATAAATTTAAATAACAAATAAAAATAAACATGTAACATATATTGGCTACATATCAATAAAGACTTTTCCTTAACTTACCTGCCAGATAGAGGGCAAATGATATAAATCTGTGGTAGCGAATGAGGAACTGAAGTTGCTCTTCTCTTTGAACAAATGTAGCAAAATAATCAGCTACAGTCTCTCCATAGAAAAAGTAGTTTACACACAGTAGAAAGTACCTATAATTTTAAAACAATTAGCTTCTTTAGATTTGAATTTTTTTCCCCCTCAAACTCAACAAAACTATTTTCTACAGTTTGATGATGACAAAAAGTTCAGAACCAAGTTGAGAAGACCAGTTCATGATATATTCCACCAAAATGCTTTTTTTCCTGTTTTAAACTTAATTTCAAACTTATCAGTCAATAAAAATTTACTGAATAGTTCATGCCTTTATTTAGCTCAATATCTAAATGCCAGAAACAGATAATTAGGAAACATTGTAGAAAATACTAGACATACACTCACTCTCATACACTCTCAGACAGAGACACACACACACACACACACACACACACACACAGCATTAAGTTTATAATGAAAATTCACTCCCAGCTACTCACAGGTCTAATGCTTTGTAAAGATCCTAAGCCAAATTCCCACCTGCCCTAGGGAAGATCAACAGGAAAAGAAGGTAGAGGTAATTTGACCTCTAACCTCACCCTCCTACCCTGCACATACTGGGGTCTTGCCCCCTCTTCTCAATGCTCCAGATGCACTCTAGTTGAGCAGTGACTCAAAAAGGGTAGCTGTGGGGAACGGAGCTAGCAGCGGGTAAAAATCTCTGGGAAAAACTTTAAAAACTTGATAAATGGCCTATCCCTTCTCCCAGTTCTGGTATATCTTTGTCCCCAGGGAGAAGCTGAACCCATGAGATTTTGCTGATGGGAGCATGTGTGAGCCAGAAAAAAAGGCTGAGAAACACTGCCTTAGGGTTCCTCCCAGACTCCTCCTTAGAAGGGCAGAGTCCTAGGCAGCCAGGAGGGCAGTAGAAGATGAAAGGGGTGGTTTCCCTCTGGTTCTCATGAATGGAATTATACCCCACTGTTCCCAAAGGGAAGTATTTTAATTTTTATCAGCTGTATTGCCATTTTTCTCTCTCCTACAATGGAAACTGTCTGTGTCGCCTCTGTAAGGCTGTCAAAGCCTACTCCAGCCACCAATCCAACTTTTTGGCCACTACTTCCTAATAAATATACACCTTCTGCTCAGGAGGGCCAGGAAGATCTCACCATCTGTGGCACATGCCTCCTCTGTCCCACATCTGAAACCTGATGGGTGCTGCTTCCCCAACCCAGAACACTCTTCTCTAGCCAAAGCCTGTCTTTATTTCAAGTAACAGTTTCTCTCTCACCTTCTCCAAGAAGCCTCTACAATCACTGGAGCCCATCTTGACCTACCTTTTTCTTCCCCCTACACTTAAAATCAATCCTGCACGGTTTAGCTTTTAATTACTCTCCGACTACTTAATCTACCTAACACTCCCTGTACACACTGCCACTCATGAAGAAACTTTCCAGAAGGAAAAATTAAGTGTTAACAAAACGAAGAAACTGTTTTCGACTACTGTAAACCCAAAAAGTGATACGTTTGTTATAATAAGACACTGGCCCCTCTGACTGATACTAATCAAACAACTATATTCAAAGACATGGCCTGTTAGGTTAATTATGAACTATCATATTATCATGTTTCATGGTCAAGGTCCTGATAACTAAGAAACCTAGAAAGTTTTAAAAATATATAAAGCTTTAAATATTAAAATTTGGTGATTTTTATTTACTAATTTTACATGCATCTGTACATATACAATATTTCAGAGGCTGGTAACTGCCCTGAAATATTTAGCAGGGTGCCTTACGCACTGACCCCAGAGTCTTCCTCATCCCTCTGACTACCCTCCTTGTTGCATGTCACAGGGCCCAGGGCCTGGAGGAGACCAAACCAGAAGCAGCAAAGGTGAGGTCATCCCTCCTCTCACTGCCCTGCCCCCCACCCCCCGCCGGCATCCTGGGGCCTATGGGGGCTTTGGAGAAGGTGGGCCAGCCTGCAGGGGTGGATGGGAGGGGAGGAGGGAGACAGACATTCAGCTTGGGCTTTCCCGTCCTGAATAAACCACTGATCACTCAAAAAAAAAAAACGACCAAAAAAGACAAAACAAAACAAAAAAAACCCAAACTATTTTCATATCTCATCTTCAAGTCCTTGTAGAAATATCAAATTTTGTGTGTGGTCTCATATCAACTGAGGGGAAATAAGGCAAAAGATTACACATATTCATAACATTTTACAAAATGAAACTTTCTGTTAAAATTGTAATTATAAAGGATATAAAAATGTGTCGAATATAATGCTGAGGTTTTTAAAAAGAGCACAAGAATAGTGTTTATATTCAATTTAAATCAGGTATCTCTACAAAGAGTGAAAGATGAGATATGAAAATAGTTGTGTTGAAATGGGAGCGTTAAAGGTAATTTCCTTCTTTCAAAATTCAATTTCATTCTTTTAATTTATATTTCTTTAAAATTAGTCTATAAGGTCAACCATGTAGATACTGATTGATCAGGATGCTTCCTTACAAACTTCAGAAAAGAATCAGATTTTCATATCTGAAACAGTTTTAAGTCACTTACCAGCTTAGTGTTCTAAACCAAGGTAGGTCATAAGAATGATAGACTCTGTAACCTATAGTGATAATTTCATGGAAGCATTTCACTTGGATGCCTAGAACCTGAAACCAAGAGAAAACATTAACATACATTTCTCAATATTTACATTTATGGTTAGTTATTTAATAAGTAGCTTGTTGTCACACGTATTTTAAAAATCTTCAGTCTACCCACTTTTAGTTAGTCTAAATATCAGCAGCAAAAATTCAATATTCAAATTCTCTATAATCAAGTGATATCCCAAAGAGGCAAGCAAAACAATGTTTTATTCAAAAAGCTTGAGAGATCCTTCCCGGGGTAGGAGGTGGCATTGTAGTTTAGAGTTTGAGGGGTATAGTCTGATTGGGATCACAGCTGACTAGGCTTTATCCCTAATTACTGCTTCATTTCTTGTGGTTGTCCATCTCAAGATGGATGGTCTTTCTGTCCATTTGTTTCTTGAGTTATCCTAGGAAAATGATCATAAGTGAAAGTTTGCTTGTATATATTTTTAATCGTACAACCTGGTATTCTTGCCAAGGATAAAGATACTATCAGGACAAATGGCTAAAATATCTTTACCCAGTCACCCAGGGGTTTGGGCATGAGCTTTTCATTCTTCCCTCCATGCCAACTCTCCCACAGCCAGCTACACACATCTCTGATCAACCCAAGCAGTGCTTCCTTGACAAATTATAAGCAGCCTTCTACATCTGCAGCCCCACTGGCCAGTCAAGTGAGTCCATGCGGTTCTGTCTGAATAGTGTCCAATACACATGCTTAGTAAATGGGTTTATATTCAAGAATCCCTTTTTGATGGTCTGTGTAGCTGTCCTTCAAACTGCTAAATCCACCAATCTGGGTAAAGGTAATTTCTGAGACTGTAGCATCATATCCAGTGTTTGGCTTAAGACAATTCCAAGACTCAAAGAGCAAATGGCAAGCTGAACACTCATCACCGTAAACTAACAGCTTTGTGAATATAGCAGACTTTTTCAACCTCTAGAGAATATACCCAAGGGCTTGTTTTTGTACAACCCTGGAGTTAAGAATGGATTATATATATATATATTTTTTTTTTTTTTTTTTGCGGTACGCGGGCCTCTCACTGTTGTGGCCTCTTCCGTTGCGGAGCACAGGCTCCGGACGCACAGGCTCAACGGCCATGGCTCACGGGCCCAGCCGCTCTGCGGCATGTGGGATCTTCCCGGTCCGGGAAGATCC